GGCTCAGGGGGCCCAGCCTCTTCCCAGAGCCCACAGCCACACCCCACCAGAGGTTCCAGGAACTCTCCCCAGAGGCTGCTTGCTGGCTGCCTGCCAAGGTTGTGTCCTCAGTTCCTGGGTGGTGACCCTAGCAGCCCAGCATTGGGTGGAAGGAGGAGGGTGAACACGAGAGAGGGAAGAACCAGGGCTCCCCTCAGATCATTTCACCCTTGAGCCTCTGTGAGATGAGAGTCACCTGTCTCCGTCATAGGGCCCTGTCCACATCAGAGGAGGGAATGGGTAAGCAGGTGCTTTGACATTACAAATGCCCTCCTTCTGTGAGGGGCTTTGTTGCAGGGCTACACATGCCTCTGCTCAGCTCTAAAGGGCATCCCTCATCACCCTCCCTCTTTCCAGAGTCATTTTACCTGCTGTCTGGCTCCATCACATCTACATGTGGATGGTACCCCACTTAGCACTTGAAAGGTGGTCTTACTAATGACCTAACAGAGGTAAGTAAACTAACAGAAAGAAAGAGAAATAAACTCACAGCACATAATTGCCCTTTTTTTTTTCTTTTGGCATATTATGGGGGTACAGATTTTAAGGTTTCAATAAATGCCCATTTCCCCCCTCCCCCCAAAAGTCTGAGTCTCCATCATGACCATCCCCCAGATGGTGCACATCTCACTCACTATGTATGTATATACCCACCCCCCTCCCCCCTCCCACCTGCCCAATACCCTATTACTGTAGTACCTATGTGTCCACTTAGGTGCTAGTCAGTTAATACCAGTTTTCTGGAGACTATATCTGGTGCTTGTTTTTCCATTCTTGGGATACTTCACTTAGTAGTATGGGTTCCAGCTCTAACCAGGAAAATATAAGATGTGCTATATCACCATTGTTTCTTAGAGCTGAATAGTACTCCATGGTATACATATACCACATTTTATTAATCCATTCTTGGATTGATGGGCACTTGGGCTGTTTCCACAGCCTTGCAATTATGAATTGTGCTGCTATAAACATTCGAGTGCAGGTGTCTTTTTTGTAGAGTGTCACTGGATCATTTGGGTAGATGCCCAGCAATGGGATTGCTGGATCAAATGGTAGATTCAGTTGTATCGCTTTAAGGTATCTCCATATTGCTTTCCACAGAGGTTGAACTAGTTTGCAGTCCCACCAGCAGTGCATAATTGCCCTTTTGAAGAAAAAAACTCAGTATAACTGCCCTTTGTTTTAATTAAAACACCTGTGGTCTAACTCGTTATCTCTAAGAGTTTCGTTTAAGAGCCCTAAGTGGACAGTTGGGGTGCGAGCTCCCCACTTCAGTTCTCACCAGCACTGGATTCCAAGGACTTAGATAAAGTCAGCCTCACAAAGAAAAAAACCAAAAAGCATCCGCAACAACTTCACCACCACTTCTGTTATCAGTCTGCTGAAGCAGCGAAGAAAAAAAAAAAAAGCCCGTTTTACCCTTTAAAAGCACCAAGCAACTTTCCTTAAGCTGCCTGGGACTACTCTCTACCTTTTCTTCAGTGCCGTGGCTTTCTCGCTCTCTCTCTCTCTGTCTCTTTCTGTCTCTCTCTCTCTCTCTCTCTCTTTCTCAGGAAAGTAAATAAACTTTTATCTTTGTATATCCTAGTCACTGTGTGAGAAATCTTTCTCCCCTGTACCATGAGCACCTAGTAAGTTTCCACCCTACTAGCATTCCAGTCCCCTTTACAGTGGAATAAATATGTACAATTTATTCAGGGGAAATAGCCTCAGACCCCTATTTTCATGTGCCTACCAGATACCACCCCAGGAGCCTTCCTACCCCCTCAGCCATTGCCCAGAAGCAGACCCCACCAAATCTTATCTGGACAATGGAGATCCCCCCACTCCCAACCCCCACTTGCCCTGCTCCAGTTCCCTGCCCACACCACACCCAGGGACAAGTTTCTAAAACCCAAACCTGAGCTGGGAATGTTGACTCACACCTATAATCCCAGCACTTTGGGAGGCCCAGATGGGAGGATCACTTGAGGCCAGGAGTTCAGAACCTGCCTGGTTGTTCAAGATCAGCCTGGGCCTTTGAGACCAGCGTGGGCAAAATAGTGAGACACCCATCTCTAAAAAATAAAATTTAAAAATTAGCCTGGGATGGTGGCATGCACTTATAGTTCCAACTACTCAGAAGGCCAAGGAGAGTGGATCCCTTGACTCCAAGGTGGCAGTGAGCTGTGATCACACCACTCCACAACAGTCTGGGCAACAGAGTGAGACCCTATCTCAATCAATCAATAAATCAATCAATAAAACCCAAATCTGACCATGGTGCTCCCCTGCTTAAGACCCCTGATGGCTTCCCCTTGGTCTTGGGATAAAGTCAAAACACCTCATCTATCTTCTGCTCCCATATAGCCATGTTTCTTGTCATACTACAAACTGGCCAGCACCATCCCCCTTCCCTATACCACTGGCCGACCAAATGCCTTGCAGTTCCCCTAACCAGTTCTGACCTTCTGCAGCATGCCTTGGCCCTCAATGCCCTTCACTAATCCCTTTACTACTTCCTTTACCTCTCACTGGGTGAAGAGGCCAAAGGGTCCAAAGTCCCACAATCCTGCACCCCCTCATCACACCCTGCCCCCATTTCCTGCTCAGCCAGAGCTTGCACTAAGGGACCCAGCTTCCATGCCCATCCCTGTAGAATGGTGCTATTCTCTCCCCTGCCAGGCTTCCTAGGGTCTCAGAGAGAATCAAATGAGAAAAGGGATGTAAAACCATTTTGTAAACTGAAAAACTTTTGTGAGAAGTGAAGAACAGAATGACAAGTGGTCTGAGAGAGTCTTATAAGCTGACCTGAGATGCACACAAGCAGCACAGGGGACAAACATGTGAAGGGACCAGGGAACTTATGGCACTTAGCAGGGGAGTGTGGATATGCGGGTAATGCCTTGGGCAGGGATGGGGGGTGGGGTGTCATTACTGGAGCAACTATAACCTTCTCATGAGATCTGGGTCTACATGAGAACCCCTGGGAGACGAGGGGCTGGTGTGGGGGTGCAGGATTGTGGGGCTTTGGTCCCTTCCTTTCAGCTTAGCCAGGTGAGTCATCCGGAGGTGCTGGACCAAATCTCACCTCCTCCACTTGAGGCTGAGCTGAAATGGTTTAGAGGATGTGCCCAGAGGATGGAGACAGCAATACAGTGAGTGAGTCATGGAGCTGAGTCAGAGCCCACTCAGCCCCTTTCAGGGCTCTGACGAAGGCTGTGCCAGCACAGCGGCATTCTTCCAGCCTTGCCTCGTCCCTAAACACACACACACACACACACACACACACACACACACACACACACACACTCCTCTAGATCGATGACCTCACAACATGCTTTGCCTGACTGCTAGCCTCACTTATTTCACAGGTTCAGTGAAATCCTATTGGGTCTCCCATGTAATGGGCTTTCTTCACTCTCACACTCAGTCACTCATTCATTCATTGACTGTCAAGGTACTGGGATAAAAACCCAGTCCTTGCCTTCAAAGAGCTCTCCATCCAGCAGAGGAAATGCATTCTCCATCCACGCCTTGTTATGGCAGAGGAATGAGCAAGGTATGACCATGGAAGAACCTCACAGGCCATCAGTATCCTGCCGGATAGAGGGGGAATGAGGGAGCCCAGCTAGATACAGCCCAAAGTTGAGATGAGTGAAGAAGTCACTGCTCCAAACATCTGATGGGAACACCAAGCCTAATGGTTGCCTTGAGGCAGATTCAGACAACATTCTGTTTCCTCCTTGAAATTAATGTGGATATTTTGACACATGTGAAAATAGCCTAAGCTAATGGTCACAGAACAGGTTCTAATTTGATCTATTTTCAGTGTGAAGACTGAAATTTGGCTTCGAATCAATGGCAGAATGAGCCACCTGATTGTACAAGAAAACATACACTATCAGAACTGGGATTACTTAGGAGTCATCTAAATCTAGTCTCACTGCTTCATTTTACAGAAGTAGAAACTCAAATCCAGAGAGGAAAAAGGAAGCAGAATATTTTGATAATTTCCATCTATTTTCCAGTCTTTAAATAAATATAATTTTTATTGCAAAAATAAACCACATTAGAGAATGAAAAAGAAAAACCACATTAATCTCAACATACAAACATAACCATTGATATCATTTTGCCACTATTTTTTTTTACAATTTCCTTTCACACAATTTTAATTATACAATATATGTAATTTTCTGTTACTTTTTTAATTTGACTTTATAGTCTAAGCATTTCCACCACATTATTAGAGTCCTCATAATCATCATTTTTAACAACTATATAATATTCCAGAAAGATGTTTTTAATTTTTTTTATGATTTATTTAACCATTCTCTTATTGAAGGACATTTAGCTTATGCCTCAAATCATAAAATAAAAATTTATCAATTTAAACATGTGACCACATGTAAATGTTTATGCCTTCTGGCCCACCAATTCCACTGCTAGAATTATGGAAATAACCATCTGATGGGCCTTGACAAGTGCCAGCACAGCCACTGAACAGTACAGTGGTGTGATACCAGGTAGCTTAAAATGTTACGTGTATTAAAGTCCATCAAGAGGGGGTTTATGAGGAAAGACTTTTATATTTTACTTTATACACTTCTGTGTTGTTTAAATTCTTCACAATGAGTACGTATTACTTTTATAATTTGCAAAAATGACAAAGATATTTCCATTTTGGAGGAAAAAAATCTTGTAGAAACCAGCACCCCATTTTCATCTGCAGTTAGCATGCTGGTTAAGTGCATCAGAATCTCAGCTCTAAACTTTACATGAACTTGAGTTTTCTGTGACATGGCGGTGATACTAATGTCATAGGGTTATTGTGTCACTTAAATGAAATAATTCCTGGAAAATACTTAGCACAAAGCCTCACGTTTAGTAAGTATTAATGAGTGTTAGCTATATATATTTTTTTCTGCCATTTCTTTTAGTCTGTGGAATCTTCTACTCCCCTACTCACTATTTCTTACCTCTGATCCCAACAACATCCAGCCTCCAGGGAACAAAACCTGCGTGATGCCACATCAGCCACATATCTCTCCTTATGGTTCTGGTTGGCAAATCATAAGCCATTAACCCTGCGACACAATCAGGAGAGAAGCATGAGGGAACAAGTGGTGCACACATGTGTGTGGGCAGTGCACTCGAGCATGAACGAACGCCTGTCCCATTCCAGATGGCAACGAGGACGCATAGCGTTTGAGACTGGCAAAAATGAGAGAGCTTGTTTTCAACAGAGTAACAGCTGGTGGGGGAAACACCCAAAGAAGTAAAAATAAGAATATCAGATTTTTTAAAAACTGAAATTTCCAAGCACCTGTACTGCTTTTTCCTTATTTTCAGAAAAACAAAAAAAGACAAAACTCACTTTTTAAAAAGAAAGGCAGAGTAGAAGAGCACTAAGCCGAGAGACAATGGCCTGTTTAAGGGTCAATAAGTGTCAGGTGCTGCAGCCAGATTGCCTGGGCCTGAATCTGGCATTTCCACAGACTGGCTCTGTGAACACGGCCAAGTTAGTTCATCTTTGTATGTCTCAGTTTTATCATCTGTAACATGGGAATAATAAGAGTTCCCAGCTTATGGGGTTGTGAGGACTGAGCCAGTTAAGATGCACATATAAATGCTGGGTCAGTGCTGGCCCTTATTATTTTGTGCATGGCCCTTTGCCCTTGGCCAGCAGGTGTAGCCCAGCGCCCCAGTTTGACCAGTCAGGGAACCCTTTTGAGGGTCCTCCCTGTGGATGTGGCTATGGGGAGGATCAGCCCAGGTTTTCAGGCAAAGCTTCTTCCTCTCAGCCCCTCCCAGTGGCCCAGGGAGAGGAACCGGGTCCTGCTGGCCTTTCCTCAGACACAGGCCCAGGTGGGGAAGGGGGTGGGGTGGGGGCGGCAGGGCGTCAGCGGTGACAGTGACAGAGGATTACTGCGGGTAGAGGGAGGCTGACCTTGGGGGCTGCTGCTGCTGCTGCTAGAAGGACCTTTGGCTGGTTCGCCTAGGAAGGCACCAAGGGCCTCCGGGCAGCTCACAGTGTGGGGGCCAACTCCAGCGGAGAGGATGGCATGGAGGAAAGCAGAGGGGCCGGGGGAGGAGGGAGGGGCAGTGGGCAAGGTGGGGGGCTGTGAGGGAGGCTGGAGGTCTTGGGGGAGGTGGGAGACGGCAGGGAGGGGAGGAGAAGCGAGAGGAGCAGCGGGGGAGGGAGAGGGAGAGGAAGGTGAGGGGGAGGGGAGGAGGCAGGGGAGAGTAGGGGGCGGGGGCGAGGGAGGAGGAAGTGGGGGCCGGCGGGGAGACGGGAGTGCGACCGCTGACTGCCCCCGCCGCCGCCCTCCGCCTCAGACGCGCAGCCCCGGCCTTTCTGGCCTTTTCCGGCCGGGTTACTGCCACACGCCTCCGACGACGCGTCAGGCAGCCGCTGGGGAGGACGCGGCAGGAGCCTCAAATGCCACCTACTCCCCGGCCTCTCTCCCAGTTGATGCTTCTATTTTAGGCACCACATTATTTCCTGCTGTGATTTTTTCAGCCTTCTAATTCGGGCTCTGAGGTAAGCCGTGACATCCGCAGCGCCCGCAGCCCCTCCCGCCCCACAGCGGCGCTGTCCTCCCTGCGCCGCCCCCCGCGGCCCCGCGCCGCGCTCCCGCCACCTCGGGGAGTCGCCGGGCCAGGCCTGCCTAAAAATACGCTTTGAGGAGCAGGGCTTCCCCTCCCCGTGCAGGGTGAAAGAGTCTAGCTGGAATAGATTCTAGGCAAGGATTTACAAAAAAAAATGACGGGGACCGGGTATAAGTTGTACCATTGTGTCCCAGATCCAGGCAGGGGACTGCAGATGCTTCCATATCGTGGTTTTCAACTGTTTTTTTTTTTGTTTGTTTGTTTGTTTTGACAAGGGCCCCTTTGAGAATCTGATGAAGGCCTTGCACGCTGTGGCGCAGCAAACCCGCAGGCCCACACGGACACTGCAGTTCTGCCTGCGGTTTGAGGTTGGTGCATCTCCTGTCGCTGTGCCGTGGACCACAGGGGACCAAGGACGCCAGGCCTACAGCCCCAGTTCAAAGGTCCTCAGTACAGTGGAGATCTGCCTCCTCTTGTCAGTTTCATCCCAACCAGACTCAGTACTCCCTACTTCCTCTCCTCCTCTCTCCTGTGATCACCTCGTTATATTTAACCTATGTGTATGTTTTTAAATGTCCTTATGTGTGTAAGGATTTCACCCCCAAGTGGGCAGATGGAGGTTCAATTGGAAACTACTTACTGAGGTAGGTGGCATTTGCCCCTTAGGTAGGTCTCCATTCTGCTTCCTTACCTGGGTCCTGCTGGCATCTGGCAGTGGAAAGGACCCTGCATTTGGATTCCAGGAAAAGGGTTCAAATTCCACACTTAGTAGCTTTGTGACCTTGACCTCCCTGAGCCTCTACTTGGTTTGTACAATGGGTACTCTAATAAAGCTTCCCTCAAATGACTAAATGAGATGTGCAAAGGGAGGTACCTTTCAAATGTGCTTCTTGGTCAAGGAGGGGTCTAGCTTACTTCATTTGAATAACTCACACCTTGTCTGTTGCCCCTCAGAGTGGGTAGGGTCCCATAAAGTTTTGTTGCTGTTGTTAATTTCTTACTAAAGCTAGGTAAACCGAGTCCAAAATAAGAAAGTGATGTGAGATGAGATCTCCAGAATAATGAATGAAAAGTCAAGAGCTAATCCCTAAAGACAGAGCAGCTAACATGGCAGTCAGCCTTTGAAGTCTGGCTGATCTTGATTCAGGATCCCCCTTTCCTACAGGTATTACAAAGAGTACTCAATCTTTTCCACTCCATTGACTCCTTCCCTACTACCTACAAACTTGTCTTCCTCCCATTCTTAAAAGTAAGATCTTCCATTTTCTTTCTTTTTTTTTTTTTATTTTGGCATATTATGGGGGTACAGATTTTAAGGTTTAAATCTTCCATTTTCTTTAAGGCTCTATCTGGTTAGTGTCCTAGTTCTTTCTCCCCCACTCATGAAGTATCTCTTGCAGTGATATTCCAACCCGATTCTCTTCCTGCTCTTCTGATGGCTCCTTCTCTACTGCTATAGCCTCTTCCTCTTCTGCACATTTTTAAAGAGTGGCTATTATCCAGTGTTCATCATGCTGCCTTCAGTTTCCTGTTCTCAGCCTCCTGCCCTTTGGGAGAGGGACCTCATCACTTTTAGCGGTTCTAGCTATCTCCTCTAGGTTATCAGTTCTGACCTCTCTTGACTTCCATTCTCAATTTCAGCTGTTCACTGGACAACTCTAGATGTAAGGCCTGGGTTGTCATCTCAAACCCAATATATCTAAAAATGAGTTTCTCATCTTCCCCAAAACCAGCTTCCCCCTGGCTACCCTTTTCTGTTTGGGACATGACCATTCCCCTAGTCACACAAGCACTAAGATTCCATCAACTTTGACTCTTCTCCTTCCCTCTCCTCCACCTCCACGCAGGCACCAAATCCTGTCCAAGCCTCCCTTGGGATCTCTCTGACATCCATCTCTTCCTTTCCTTTCCCACCTCTATCCACCCAACCCTGCAACTCTGATGACTATAGTAGCTCCTCTGCTGGTTTTACTGCCCATAGTGTCTCCATCCTTTCAAATGGGTTAACTTCTGAGCCAGGGCCCACCTCCATTATAGACTCCTTTGAATATAGGCCACTTGAACTGCAGTAGCACATCTTGCCTGTTCCATTCCCCTGCCAAGTCATCCAGTCTTGCCAAGTAACCTCTCTGCTATTGTTACATAACTTTTCACATTTTTCATCTAAATGGGAAGCTCTAGAGCTCTTTCCCAGCCCCTGATCTGAGCTTGCCGAGGGTCAACTGGGGCCCTTGGTGCTACAACAGTGTTGTTAACACAAGTGCTTCTGGTTCCTCCTCATTGTCTCCCCTATTTGTCAATCTAGGTCACTGCAGCCATCTGGAGCACCTTTCACCAGGAAGCAGAAAGCCCAAATTCCAGTACCTATAAGGCCCAGGCAGCTCACAAAATGGGTGAGGTAGGCCAGGTATGCGATAACAGGGAGTGGCGGGACGTGGCATCTAGATCCCAGGTGCTCAGTCTAGAGGGGCTGCTGCTACTCGGCCTACCTTCATGGCCATCAGCCCTGGGCTTGGCCAGATTTTCCAGTTTTTCAAAAGAAACACCAAATTTGAATTTTAGATGAAATTTCCCAACTTTTAAAATGTTATTGCAAGCCAAACAAAACATGGCTGCAGGCTAAATTCAGCTTGCAGGTAACCCTGGACATAAAGGTTTCCTGTTTTGTAATAACTCTTGATGTGGCAGAAAGCATTTCAGACTGGAAGTTTCTAGTTCTGGTTATGCCAGTAATGAACAATGTAACCTTGAGTAAGTTACATGCCCTTTCTCAGACTCAGTTTCCTCCTCTGTACAATGAAGGATCCTATTAAATGATCCCTAATGCCTTTTTAACTTGGTAATTCTGTGGTTCTATGGCTTATTCCAAATGGTGGGGAAATCCTGTCTAATTGAATTGTCTGGTGAATGAGAATTACCATAAATACACACTGTACGTGGATTACCACATTTCAAAGACCCAGAATACAATAAGCCTTTGGTTAACTGAAATTCTCCAGGGTTAACTGGAAAATCCCCTTTTAATCACGATTATTGTTGAAAGACTTTCTAAAATACCAGAGTTCAGTTTCCTGCCTTTTTAAGCACAGGAGATGCAGCAATACTGGGCAAGGGGAACTGATGAGTCAAAGTCTGGTGATGGCTCTGCCACCTGGGCTGAAGGGGGCTCCCAGTGGGGCTGGGAGATCCTCTCAGGCCACTTCCAGCCAGGCTCTGGTCACAGAGCAGCGTAATCTACAAGTCTACCACCTGGCTGGTGCCATAAAATAACTGTACTGAGCACCTCACCAGCTTCTTTGCAGGACTCAGACCTCCAGGTTCAACATCCTAAGCTGGGAAATAGTTGAAAACTGGTGCTGCCTGGAATGTATCTCAAGGCCAACTGCCATGACACAACCCAGAGCTCCTTCCCACTGAAAAGAGCAGGAGCTTTAGTTGTACTCCCTGTTTTTGGCTTTAGCCATGTACCTTAGCCTTTCTGAGTC